TTTCTGAAAAGATCAACACTAAGAAACACTAGTATATCTTTGGTTCGGTTTTCACCGCCACGGAGGGGAACGGGGGGGGGGGAGCGGGTGGTTTGCGCGGACAGATCGGCATAAGAAAATCAAATGGAATTTTACCTTTCGAAATATTTAAAGAATGCAATAATTGATTTTCCTCTGTTCCAGAAGTACTATTTAACCATTGTCGTAAGATAAGAGCATGTTCAGCAATTGTCGGCTGACGAAATAACGACGAAATGTTAAATGATGTTTTAGAATCAAGATTAAATTTTTTATGAATTTGAGAATAAAGATGCATTATTAATAGAGAATTTCCGCCTAACGAGAAAAAAGAACGTTGAAGAGGAATACTCGATTTTTTATCAAATTTCAATATTTCACGCCAAAGTTCATGTATAGTTTGTTCTTCATTCGTCATTAATATTTCTTTTTCATCCTCTTCATTACCGTTCATTATATTATTAAACATAAGTAATGTCGATAAATCAGGTTTTGGAAGTGATTTAATATCTAATTTACCATTACTATTAAATGGTAGTTGATCAATAAGAATAAACAATGATGGAACCATATATTGAGGTAAATGATTTTGGCAAAATTCAATAATAGATTTATTATCAAATGAACTTGTTATTGAGCTTTTATTTAATTGAATATAAGCAATAAGATGTTCTTGCTTTAACTCTTGAACTTTAATAACAACACAATTGGAAATCGAAGAACTAAATTGGTAAATAGTTGATTGAATTTCTTCTAATTCGACTCTTTGCCCATGGATCTTTATTTGAAAATCATTTCGACCTAATAATTGAATTTTACCAATCACTGGTAAAATTTTAGCTGAATCGCCTGTTTTATAAGTGTTATAATATTCATCCGGAAGTTGGATTAATACTTTAGCATTAAGATCATCTCGATTTAGATAACCATTCATAATTGGCCCTGTTATATAAAGTTCTCCTGTAAATCCAATTGGTATTGATTGTAAATATTTATCAAATACATGACACTTAAAATAGGGCATTGGTAAACCTAATGGAACTGTATTTAATGATAAATCTATATTATCTTTTGTTATAATATCATAGATTTGAGCTACAGTGCCTTCAGTTGCTCCCCCGAAATTTATATATTTACAATTAGAGGGTGAAATATTTAACAATCGACGAGCAAAATGAGATGGAATCGGTTCACCTTAAATAAATATACGAAAAAGTGAAGAATTTTGTGTAAGTACAAAGAAAAGCAAATTAGCTTTACCTACAGACCAAATTAGACGAAGAGTTTTTAATCGATGATATGCTTGCTGCGTCTCTATAATATCAAATAAAATCATTTGTAATGTTGGAACAATACAAACATATGTTGCTTGATGATTTTCAACAACGTTCGATAAATAATCCATATTACGATTCCCTTGTTCTGGTCGTAAAAGTATAACTGTACCACCAACAAGTAAAGTACCAAATATTTCATGAAAATGAACATCCCAAGTACATGAAGATAATTGTATAGCTTTATCATTTTTATTTAAAGTATTTAATTCAATTGAAGATTGGATATAATAAAGTAAATGAGAATGTGATATTACAACAGCTTTTGGTGTACTGGTTGTTCCACTTGTAAAAATAATATAAGCAATACAATCAGTCGTTATAGATATTGTTTTTACTTCATTATTAAATTGGTTGGAAAGAAGAAATAAATCTGTTTCAATAAAATCATATGATTCATCTAATTGATTTATTATTTTATGAGTAGGATTATGAACAAGAATATGCTTTGCTTTTGTATCTTGGATAAGAGTTTTAAGTCGTCCCGGTGGATCCAGAGGTGATAAAGGGCAATAAATTGCACCCGATGATAAAATAGCTAGCATACCAATAACCATTTCAAAAGATCTTTCAACACATTGACATATAGTATCTTGTGGTTTTACAAATTTAGTTAAATGATTTGATAAACATAAGACAGAACATAATAATTCCGAATAACTAAGTGATTGCTCCTCAAGTTCAAGGGAAATCTTTTGTGGATAAAATTGAGTTTGTTTAAAAAACTCTTCATGAATAGTCAATGCTAATAAATGAGATGAATGCTTTGTATTATTTAATCGATTTAAAACTTGTTGTTCATCGGGTAAAATAATTGATAATTTATAAATTGGTTCATCAATGATTGAAGAAGAAAAAAGTTGTGTAAGTATATGTTTAAAACGCTTTCCAATAAAATCAACATTGTCTTGATTTTGAACTATATCAGCTGAACAATCAAAAAAACATTCCGTACTTTTTGTATGATGATCATGTGCTATTGTAAGAGTTATATCGAATAATGTTATTCCATTTCCATGAGATCGATCTCGATCAAAATACAAACCCATATCAACATTACCATCTATAGTGGTTTCCATAGCATTTTTTGCTGTTAACGATGATATTAAAGATTCATATTGCAATGATGCTGATGGTAACACTTGTTGCTCTCGCTGTTCATGTGAATTAATAATATGCTGATATGGTAAGCAAGCATATTCTAAAACATCATTACTTAATCGTTGTACTTTTTGAGTGAGATAATTAAATGAATTTTCTGGTTCAATTATTATTCGATATAATACAAGATTAACAAACATTCCAATCATATCTTTCATTTCTTCTTTAAATCGATTTGCTATAACACCTGCCACACATAAATCATTATTATTATTATTATTATTAATCAGTTTCATTAATAATATATAATAACAAGCAAGAGATAAAGAGAACATAGTAATATGATTCTTCGCGGCATATAACATCATTCCGTCAACAATATGTTGTTCAAGAGAAAATGAAGTTGAGTAACCACGGCCCGGCGAAGTTTTATTTATTTTATTTTCATTATGTGCTAAATATGGTTTTTTATTCCAATCGTATCCCTTCATAAGTTTCGACCAAAACTGACGAGCTTTGTTCATTTTTGAATCTATATTTTTATCAGCTAACATTTTTTGCTCATATAATGCAAAATCGATATATTGCAAAGCCGATAATGTTGGTTTTTCATGAAAATTTTTCCAGCATGCTTTTTTAAATGCTTTGAGAAATGGTCTAAGAGAACTATTATCAAATGCAATATGGTGAAAACTGATAATAAGTAAATCATTTTCATGCAATGATAGGTCATGATAATTATTAGTTCGTTCTACCACATGACAGCGTAATACTTTTCCTTTCTCGATATCGAAATGTTTTCCAACAGATTCATGTGTAAGAAGATGATCGAGTTGTTCTAATGTTGTTATATTTCTTGAATGTTGAAATGAATATATATCCTGGGTAAGAGGTTGAATGTATTGCATGATTTGATTACTTTCTGAATTGAAACTAACAGAAGTACGGAAAACAGTGTGTTCATCAATCAGTGAAAGCAAAATTGAATGAATACGTTCTATTAATAATGAACCATGCTCCACTATTAATGGAAGTATAATATTATAGACCGAAAAATCCGAGGAATCAAAATGGAATTTTTCATGAAGCCATATCCGTTGTTGAGGAAATGAAGCAATTGCCTCTTTCTGGCCAGAACCGACAAGTTCTGGTTCCCTACGTACATTTGCTCCATTCGTTAGTCGTTTCCGTGAAAGCATTATTTGATTTTAAAAAATCAATAGCCGCCGATGATTTACTGATAGTACCAAAGAGATAAATGATTGATATCTACAATTTTAATATATAAAATGAAAAAAATGATCATATATCCACCATGCCCATGACAAACGTTCCGGCCTTTAGAACCGGGTGGAACCAGCAGGAAGGTACCTCGTCCCCGACGGAACCGCCCACAATCCTCCGGCAAAAAAATTAGACAAGTTATCATCAAATGCACAACCGATCGGACCCTCAAGGACTGTCGGGATCATCGAGCGGACTTCCAACGTAAACTTTTCCCCATAGTACAAGCCCCCGGGGGCTTCTAACATGTCCTATAATTTTTTGAAAGTTTCTGGAACCTTAGTTTTTAGAGGCTTTTGACAGATTTGTATGTGATCAAAAACTTTTTGGGGGTTATTACTACCTCTTTACCTCAAAATCTACTGTTTCCTCAAATTTTACTGTGAAAAAGCAATATAAATCGTCAAAAGCCCTGCAAAAACAATTTTGAAAAATAAGGGTGTGACGATTTCTGATGGAAGAGATGTGTATCCTGATGAAATCATGTCTTTCGTTATTTCTTCCTATCATCAATCGCATCATGTTAATACAAAGCACGCATTTATACACTCGTCCACAGAGAATAAGAAAAGGAAAGGTGATCCAAAGTGCATCGAAACGCAACGGGTTAAGGGCAAATAACATGCATATAAAGCATGGAATAGACAGATCGTCACAAGGGTGCTTATAATATGAGTGGCTTTTAATAGGGGAAGGGCTTTTATTACCGTGAGGGTTTTAATCCAAAAGAGTAGATTATTCCAACCCTTTCCGTTTAAATCCTGCCTCTTCCAATGGCATACGCACGGATACCATCCACAGTACCGACAGAAACCTAGTGATCGGACCCAGATTGCTCCAAGAAGTTCCAATCGGTTCCGAACCGTGACGATAACTACCCCGAAAATCCGATCTAAGCTAATATCATTCTCCGCTGTAACACCTTATTACACATTAATTACCATCCACCACTATCGTTCCGCATACAATCTCGGAATCAAACACTCTAACACATTCCAGAATCTACAAAAACCTTTCTTCAGTCAACGGGAGCAAATTTGTGAACAGTTCAAATCCGATTTTTAATTCAGAATCTCAATACCCGCCATAAACTCTCAACAATCAACTTTGAATGAGGATTTTCGAGAGGATTCAAGTCGGCTCGAAAGTTCAGTGCGAAGATGGTTATAGGGTGCTTTTCTGTGTCTGGACAAGTTGGTCAGAGCTGAGCAGCGGTTAAATGAGATATTGTTTGGTAGTGTGGATGGTCGAGAAAAAAGGTAAAAAAGAGTGGGAAATTGACAGAAAGTTGGGCATCCATTGGTTCGGAAATTTGCTGTCGAATCTGCTCGGTGCTGAACGGCTTTCACGAAATGGGCGAAATATTGTGGATCCGGGTAGTTCTGCGCCGAATTATTGCACCTGGGGAGTGCTACTCATGTCAATAGTAATATGTGTGACGCTTCACTATCATGCGTTGTACCGGTGGTATTTAGGCTTTCGACTTTTCTCTGCTAATGGGTTCTCCTATTTGTGTACTTCCTTTGGTAGATATCGATGCACTTCGGCACAATATTCCCTTTCCTTCTTCTCTATGGACGAATATATATAAAGGAGTGTTTTGCACCAGAACGGTGCGATTCAAGAGGATGAAAATATAGTCATAGTTTCATCTGCACATAAATCCTTTCCATCAGAAATCGTCGCAATATGATGAATAGATCTACAGGTGTTTGCAAAAAAACTTGCAAAAAAAATTTTTTTGTTTGAAGTGAAAAAGACTTTTTTCTCGATCTATTTTCAAACATTCATACATGGGCTGATAGAACTCGAAATTTCCTATCAGGCCATGCATGAATGTTTGAAAATAGATCGAGAAAAAAGTCTTTTTCACTTCAAACAAAAAAATTTTTTTGCAAACACCTGTATTCAATTATCGTTCTTTGTGAAGATATCGACTTATATATCATCCATGTTATATAGAAAGCCGCCATGGTTGAGTGGTTACGTTGTTCGACACCTAATCGCAAGGTACTGTGTTCAAACCTCAGTAACATCAACCATGGAATAATCCTGGACAAGTCACTAACGGCTAACTGTCTCAATGACTCATCCATACTGACATACATGCTTAGGCAGTATGTTGGACGGAAGTGAGTGCAGATATCGCCGTTCGGAAAAAGAAAAGACGATAAAACCCAGCTGCATGCGGAAAAAGCTATATAATAATGATCGCGGCCGGTCAACAACGGGCAAAAAGCCTATAGGACGCTATTATTATTCTTATTATGTTATATAGGTTGTTGTTGATTTTGAGACTGAAAGCTAGTGCCCACTGCCCAGAAAACGGTGGTGCTCACTAAACCGAGGCGCTTTTCCAGCAGAATTCGATCGGGCGGACTTACGAGCGCCCAGAATAGGTAGGTGCTTAAACATAGAGGTTTTACTGTAACTATTATTTTTGAGAACGAGCAGAAGTTTTGGGAGATGTGACTATTTTCCTTTTTTCTTTTTAGTGAAAGGGCTATACATGGAGGCCCCCTACACTTTGACGAAAATCATTTTACCGACAATTACTTTGTCGACAGATCTCTTAGTCAAAAATTTCAATAGATACAATTCTTTTCGTAATCAAATTCTGAGGGAACCGACGCAACAGCCATTTTTGAGCAAATTTTGTCATAGCTACGATATCCTCATCTGAGTCTTCCCCCCACACCCTCACCCTGAACTAAAACGGTATCACGAGTGTCTGGCTTTGGGACGGCGACGTCCCTACAATTTTCAAAGATCTCTTTTTCTCTCGCGATTGCTTGGAAGTTTTAAAAGCATTTTTCAAACCTCTAAAAATATTTTTTAGAACGCATAATCTTTTTTTTTAAATTTCGTGAAGTTTATCCACGCTCCTTCGATTTTTTTTATCTGGGAACATCTCTACATGCATAACAATCGATTGATTTCGACGAGAATAAATCAAACATTCACAAATCTCGTTAGGCAATAAAGAACTGACAAGTAGCTCTATTCAATCGTTTTTTCGTTCGTCTTAAACAAAATAGAAAATTCAAATTGTATCGGATATTTCTATGTATTAGGTTGGCAACAAAGTTCTTGCGTTTTTTTTGAAAATTTTCTAAAACATTCAAGAAAGTTCTAGAAGTTTCCATACTATGGATATATAAAGGGAGTACAACTATCTCTCGATTGATAATAAAATCATCGATATGGACACTGATCTCGAACTGAAAATGAATCTTTCTCGTAGAGAGATTCGGGTGCTTTTACTTCATGAATTCCGTCTGGATCATAAAGCCACGGAAGCAGCCAACAACATATGCAGCACGATGGGCGAGGATGTGCTCTCTATTCGTACGGCGCAACATTGGTTCAATCGGTTCAAGAATGGTAACTTAGAACTCGACGATTTACCTCGATCCGGTAGACCAATGGAAGTGGATGTGGACCTGTTAAATCAGCTTATCGAACAAGATCCGCGATTGACTTCACGGTGTTTAGCAGAGCAGCTTGGGTGCTCTCATACTACTGTGGAAAAACATCTGAACGAATTGGGCAAAACATGGAGATATGGAGTTTGGATACCTCATGAATTATCACCACGTCAGCTTCAATGCAGAGTTGATGCTTGCATGGATTTAATGACATCTCACCGCAACTATCAATGGCTCTGCAATCTTATCACTGGTGATGAGAAGTGGGTGTTGTATGTTAACCATACGCACAGACGCCAGTGGCTAAGTCCTGGTCAAACAGGTGTAGCAACGCCTAAACCTGAACTACACCCAAAAAAGGTGATGCTGAGCGTTTGGTGGGGTGTCAATGGAATTATTCATTGGGAAATTCTTCCAAATGATTGTACAATCACGGCTAACCTCTACTGTCAACAATAGGACCGGGTTGCCGAAAAACTCAAGGGGAAGCAGGATCGAATTTATTATTTACATGATAATGCCAGACCCCATGTTGCAAAGTCGACTTGTGAAAAATTATTAAGTCTCGGATGGATTACCATTCCTCATCCACCTTATTCTCCTGACTTGTCACCAACCGATTACCATTTGTTTCGTTCTCTATCTCATCACTTGCGTGAGAAAAAATTCGACGACGAGAACGACCTGAAAATGGATATCGCCAACTTCTTTGGTCAAAAATCCAAGGACTTCTACGAACGTGGGATCCTCTCTTTACCAAAACGTTGGCAACAAGTCATAGATACCAGTGGTACATATATAACTGAACGCTAGTTGTACTATTGAAGTTAAAAAATAAAAATAAAATTTTTGAAAAAAACGCAAAAACTTTGTTGCCAACCTAATATTATTTGATTCTGAAATGATGCATAATCAAATCCAATAAACATGCCAATTCTATCACTTTGTTGATTTGTAGTAACAAGATCATTTCGACCATCATTATTTACATCATCTATCATTACACTGGTTGGTGATGAATCCGATCCAGTCGAGTACTTCCTTTGTGAAGCAAACCTTTCATTTCCGTAGTTCATAATCACACTTATTGTGTTTTCTTTCGAATTCGCAGTGACGATATCTACATTATTGTCTTTGTCAATGTCACCAGTGAGAACATATCGTGGAGAACTGTCAATGCCAATCGAATAAGTGATCGGAGTAGTGAACAGTCCATTGTTGAGACCAAGCAAGATACTGATATCATCTGTATCTGAATTAGCAACGACCACATCTGTTTGGTTGTCGTTGTTGAAGTCACCAATTGCTAATGAATGCGAATGTGGAGCAGATCCTGTGCTGTAGGTAAGCTGTCTGGAAAACTGCGCAGCATAATATTCCGTCAAGACTGCCAGATATCCAGTACCCCAATATGTGACTAGGTATTCTCGACGACTGTCGTTGTTAAGATCCGCAGTGGCGAGAGCATATAAATTTGTACCGAAACCAGTTGAGTATGTTCTCGATAAAGTGAAATTTCCAGTGCCGTCTCCATACAATACGATTAATTCACTTGATGGAGAGCAAGTGACAGCCATGTCAGGTTGCTGATCATCATTCAAATCAGCAACAACCACGTAGAATGGACTTCTAGCAGATCCGACTACAATTGCGAAACACGGTTGAAACGTACCATCACCAATTCCAAGGCAAATAAGTATATTGCCGTTATCTGAACAAGTACGAATGATGTCTAGATAGTTATCTCGGTTTACATCAGCAAGAACAGTCACGATAGCAAAACCGATGCAATCGCCTGAATATGTGGTCATCGCCGAAAACGTGCCATTACCATAACCTAGAAAGACGCCGACCGAACCAGACTCCGAAGCACTGACAACAATATCGGAATAACTGTCATTATTTAAATTTCCAACAGTAAGCGAAAGTGGCTGAAATTCGTTACCGATCGAATATCTGATCATATTGCTGAAATTTCTGTTGCCATCATTTAGAAATATACTCATATCATCGGAAAGCCAGTTTGCAGACACAATATCTATGTGATTGTCATTGTTAAGGTCGCCAAGTGCAGTAAGCCATGGTTGAGTACCAGTACCAGTTGAGTAAGATGTCGCAGCCGTAAATGTTCCATTCTCAGCACCGAAAAGAATACTGACAGATTTAGCTGCTAGATTAGTCACTATCATATCCGTACGACCATCATTGTTGACATCACCGAGATTTATATGTTTTGGACTCGAACCACTATCTACTGGATATGGTTGTCCGGCAATAAATTTTCCATTATTAATACCATTGAAAACAAGTACGGTACTACTACCAAAATTGTTGACGGCTGCATCTAATTTCCCGTCTTCATTAAAATCAAAAACAACAATTGACGATGGACGAGAACCGTATCCAACAAAATAAGTCATTTGTCGAACAGATGGTTGACTAGAATAACCAGAGAGTATATTTATGCTGTTCGTATCATAATTCGTGACAAGCAGATCAGATTGATTGTCTTTATCAATATCAGCAATGACGACAACTGATGGATGCGATCCACTGATCGAATCATAAGTCGTTATTACATCAAAACTTGT